ATATTGTGCTACGCATATTGACTAATTGTGCACGTACTTTCAACATTCGGATTTCGCGAAACGCCATTCTCCGCACTTCGCAATCCTCCTCCGTTTCGAGAAATCTTTTCACGGCTACCAGTTGCCCGCTCTCGCGATGCCTGCATTTCATCACCACGCCGTAACTCCCTTCTCCCACCACCTCTATCACCTCGTATTTCTCCATCCCTTCGGCCCTACATCATCGGGCCGACTAAGTAAGGCTGCTAAGTAAAGAACTTGGAGGCAGAGTCCGGCTAGCTACTCGATAGATAGCGAGCACTGAAATAGCTCCACCACATGGCGGGGGTCTTTAATGCTGGTTAGATTCATCTGTATGCGTTTCCGACGCAGCCAGTTGAGACGCGTTCGGCAGACCAAGGCAGAACGTTTCTTAACCGAGGGAACGTTTAAAATCGAGGAATTTATCCAAACTGGTCCGAAGGGAGACGAGACAGCGAAAGGAAACAGTTGAAACAGTAGTGAAACAGTAGTGAAACAGTAGTGAAACAGTTGTAACCGACCGAGGCGGGATGTGCGTGAAACTGTGGAAAACGGTTTTGGCGCGGTTCGCCTGGCTGCCACGATGCTTCGAACCGACCACGATCAGAACCAGATTCGTAACGGTGTGATAATAATGTTTCTCCAGCATCGTGGACAAGGTGAGATCCGCGAGTGATGGCCGGTTGCCACCCGACAGCAACGATTCGACCTTTACAGCAATCCCCCGAAATCAGGAGCCAGAAGCCTCTTCGCTATTCGGTCAATTGGGTCTATCTGGCGATCGCCGATCGAAATCCTGTTCAGCCGCAGGACCACCGTCACCACCAGGTTCGACGACCTTTCGCCCTTCGAAATTCTCGTTACACTCCAACCACTCTGCCGACGACCATTTTCGGAACGCTCGGCCCTTCCGCAGCCGTTCGACCCGGCGGCAACTTTCCAGAGAACATCGCCGACCTTTCCCTCCTCGACAGAAAACCGAGCAAAAGGCCACCGCCCAGTTACCTTTGCCACCTCTGCTTCAACAAGGGTCATTACATCAAAGACTGTCCACAGGTCTACCTCTCTCTCTCTTTTTAACCTCGTTATTAGTTTTTAACCTCGTTAACCAGAAATCCCGATTACAGGCACGGCCAAAGGGAGAGGTTCTAACGCCGTACCAGGGGAGGAAACGGTGCTTCGGTGAGTACAAGTGTCCCAAGTGCAAACGCAAATGGATGTCTGGCAACAGCTGGGCCAATATGGGCCAGGAATGCATCAAGTGTCACATAAATGTCTATCCTCACAAACAGGCGAGCGACAAGGAAACCTCACTTTTGCCAAGTTGCCGAAACGTCGCGTTAAAAATAATTCTCCCCGCCTCCTTTACAGAGGCCGTTGGAGAAACCGGACGGGCTGGACGTTTCCGACCAGAGCAAAGTTCATCCGCAGCACCTCTGTCAGAAATGCAAAACCCTCGGTTATTATTGCCGAAAGGACCAGTAACGAACCTCTACAACGCCAACGCGTAATTTTACCGCACCTACCTAATCTATCTATCGAACTGGTATATATGTATATGTACATACGTAGGATCGTGCGTCGAGCACAGAAAACCGGAATATACCACAGAGTCGGGAACTCTGCCAACTAATTATAGTTGCTTTACGTTTACAGCACCGCGACAATTTACGTACGCGTGTGCGCGCGCTCTTGCGTCATTTTATTTTTAATATATGTACCTTCCTTTCGCTTTGTACTTTTATACACGTATGCACTTTCTGTGATCGTACCTAACCGAATCTTCGTATACAATGTACAAGAAAGGAGAGAAGGAAAGCAGAGAGGACGGAAAAGGGATGTCCTCCGCTCGCACGTTACAGTGGTAGACGACGGAAATTACAGTTATAGACAGAGTACGATTCCGCACCACACACGCACACGCACACGCAGGCAGGGCAGACAATGCTATAGTATAATGTATATATTAATAATAATATTAAATACAAGGTTATATATTATTATTAATATATCGCCAGTGCGAAATATACAAGAAGCCTACCAATTTCTCTTCCGTGAAAACAATGATACAATATATATATATATAACGAATGTACAGTAGTCAAGGATTAGTCACGACGAATAATCGATCCGCCGCAGGATCTTCGCTAAAATACGCTGCAGAATTAAACATCGTCGCTGCTGCGGAGGAATCTACAGTCATCGTCTGTAAAGAAAATATTCGATTATTGTTGGACATTCGTGAAACTTCCTGTTAAACGTATGTATACGGTATGTACAGAGCGATAACTCGGGTATGCTAAAATTCAAACTAGCCGATATATGCCAACGGAAAACAAAAATAAACCATAATATCAGTTACACGTTTTCTTTTTTCTTCTCGACTTTCCTCTCGACCCCCTTCCCTTCCCTTCCCTTCCTTTTCTTTCGCATCCTAGTCAACCGAATCAACCACGAACCGAAAGGAAATCAAAGCAATTGAAAAACAACACAAGAAAATACCGAATCCTGCTAGAATACAACACATTCATTCACCTGGGATGAATTTGCACGCAGCGAAGAATTTAGTGTTCCATCGTGTTCCGTCTCTTGTTTATACGCTAAATGTTGTACAGACTGCGAATCTATCGAAGCTTGCTGATAGTGCTGTTGCTGTTGCTGTTCACGTATCCATTCCTCGTATTCGTTTCTTGGTGTAGCTTCTTCTAATTCCTTCTTCCGATTGCCGATCGATGCTAACAACCGCTCCTGATTTTCTTGCTTCGAAATCTCCAATATTCCCAACGTTTCTTCTTCCCTGTACCCGTCCTTTGGTTCCATAGCGGCGGCGGTGTTGGTAGTGGTAGCCGACAAGGACTGTTCCAAGGTAATAGGCTGACAAACATCCGAGGCCGCACTGGCTACACGAGTAGGGTTCGTCTCTTGATCGACCAACAGTCGACTGCGACCGCTCACCTCTAGCGACTCTTCTGTACCCTCGAATGACAGCGACGGTATCGTAATAGTCACTGTGCTCAGATCCATACCCTCCAAGGAGCTTCCCAGATTTCGTGCATCTTCGTCGTCGCCCGGCTGGAGACTACCGATAGTCTCGACCGGCTGCGCTGCTGGTGCTATGGATCGAGGAAAACACGGTTGTTGCTGCTCCACCAAACTGATAACCGGCAACACGTGCTGCTGTGTTTGCGGTGCCGGCATCGGCGGTGGTGACGGAGGTGACGGAGACGGAGACGGCGAGGATGGTGGGACTGGAACAACAGCTGGTTCCGGGAACAGTTCTCCTTTCAAATTTGGTAAGAACACGTCGATCGTCCGCCACGTCGGGGCCCACAAATACGAGGTTGGTGCCAATACGTTCGCCGAAGACATCACCAGTAACATATTTTTCAGCGACTCCGGTATCGCTTCGAACAGAAGCTCGCTATTGTCCGCGTGCATATACGCGCGAAGTAAACTCAACACCGTCAGCCATAACGGTAAAAATCCAGGAAGGGTCAACAGCGGATTCAAATGATGAAGAAACACCTTCGAGAGTAGCATCGCCGCTCTCACCCTCGTCTCCTCCACACCGATAGGATCGTTCGATGCTATTGGTCCAAGCAGTTGTGCCAGCAGAGGAAATAACACCTGTTCCAAACACTGGGACCATTCGACCGCGGATAACTCGGCCAAATCGTGAGCGAGCAGGGTACTTTGAAGATACGTTATGGCAGCGGTGCGAACTTGCCTACGAGCGTCGCAACACAATCTCGCGATCCCCTGCAGCAAAGGTCTCCACGCCTGTGGCCACAGCGATACGTCTTCTGTAGCGTTTCCTTCTTCGGCCCACCATCGAAATACTTGAGCGGTCCGTGTATGAAGCGTATGCATCAAATCCAACAATTGAATCGGACTCTGCTGATAACTAACAGCCGTAGCAGCATCGTTACCGCTACCGTTACCACTTCCGTTACTACTACCGTTACCGTTACCGTTACCACCACCACCACCACCTCCACC